ATACTGAAATCTGTTTACTCTGACACTGCGTCTGAATACACGATCACATACACAGACATTCATGATGTTATTGTTATTATTTGTAGACCGATGTTTTTGAGATATTCACACACACATGCATTTTTCAGAAAAATGACTTCAACCAGTCAAACAGTTATTAATGTCCCTTATTGTTCCAAAGTTACAGCAACATTTTTACAGATTAAACTAAAATGATTCTCCTTTATTGAAGTTTACCTGCAAACATCAATAATCTAAATTCATTGCTGCCATTAAGTAATAGAAGAAAGCAACAGCAATAATTATTATTATAATAATAATACGTTTAATATGAAATATTTGAATAATTTAACAAACACAGAATCCAGTTTTAAAGATAAAAAGTTTTCAGTCCCACACGGGTGGGGGTAAATTAAATAAGTTATTTATTTAAGCTGTTAAACCCCCAAACCAAAGAAAAAAACATCTGAGAATCCAACTTTTGGTTTTTCTTTCTCTTATCAGCGAGGTTTAGGTGACGTCACGGTTAGTGTGTGTAGCCAAAAATTACATCTGAACAAAGACAATTCTGCTCATTTCATTCATAGTTTCACTTTCAGCTGCACCACGCTCACAGCTGGAATTTGCCTCAGGTCAAAATAATCAAACACGAAGATACAAACATGCTTCTAGTTAATATAGATATATCAATAAAATCTCCACCAGAAACCACTCACTGGTTTCTTGACTTTGATTTCTGTGAATCTTCAGTGTTAACATTTTGACCACTGCTGTGTTGTCTTTTTGTCTTTTCTTTTGTTCTTTGAGGCAGAACCCACATTACTGCGCCACATGTTGCATCAGCTTTAAGTTATTACACTAGAGTTCATCAAACAGAGTCAACAGTAGAGAAATCTGACTGTGCCTCAGCACAACAAGAATAAAAAGCATTTCAAAAATGTACCTGCTGATGCACTTTAAATGTCGTCTGAGCAGAGAATCACTTTTGCTTTGCTGTGAACTGTACAGCACAAAAGCACTGAGGACTCTTTTGTTGGTATTTAGAGAATCCAGACAGCTCTGACCCTTCAATCTCACTTCACTCGGTCTAAAACATTTATAACGGATCATTTATTTTCCCATTATACTGCCTGTATCCACCCACTGAAAATGGATGTGGATGGTTCATTGACTGCAAGCAGGCTGGTTGCCATGTGTGCCAGAATAGGGAAGCAGCAG